AACCAGAACTGTAATGACAAGTACACGTGTATTATTTAATCTTATCTCCAGCTCTGTGAGTGAGCAAGGCCATTGAGACATTAAGTAACTTGTCTTTAGTCACTTGCCTAGCAGGTGATAGACATAAAATTGCAACTTTGAGAGGAGTCTGACTCATGTGTAGGCACTCAAACTCTTTACACTATGCTGGCTGTGTGCATTCACTAAAAAGTTGTGCTAAACTTCCTTCTATGACTTAAGTATATTTTTCACAATGTTTCATGGATCTAGAAAATGTCTAATTACCTTTGCCATACTAGTTTCTAAAAATTGATTTGTTTTCATTAAGGGGTGTATGTTTCAAAACTTGTGGGTTTAACTCTTTGAATTTTGATACATGTCTTCACTTGTCAGAGAAATACATTATGCTAGTTCTGCCCCATCCCTATTCTTCCCAGTATATGAAATTGTAGTACAGATCTGCAGCTACAGTAAGCAATTCTCTGAGGATGAAGAAAGAAACTGTATGTTCACATAGGAATTTCTTTTCCAGAGCTAAAATTGACATTTTATAAATAATTTCCATGTTGCAAACTTGAGACCAAGAAATCACAGCAATTCAGTGATATGCATTTGGCATGAGTCAGTTTTAGTTCTTAGTGCTTTTCATTGGAAATGGCATAAAAAGTAAGATATCTCTGAATTTTTTATGCTATGGGCTTACAAGAGACAGAAAATGTTTTTATCTTATAGATGCATGGCAGTGCATAGCAGCAGAAGTAACGAAATGGTCACAAACCTCCACAGTATTTCCCAGGTCACATTCATTCTTAATTTTTAAAGAATCTAGAAACAAACCAAGCAGCTGATAATAGCCCATTTCCAGGCAGCAGTGTTTGGTGTGGTATTGTCCTTCTTCTCATTTTCATAGTGATTTAGAGATGGGTTCTGTATGTCACTAGGTTTTCATGCTTTTAAATATATAACCTAGCTGGCCACTTTGTTGTTTCCCTCCTTTTTCTTTTGTAAGTAGTTAGCATTGATTTTGGTCTTAATTTTTTATTTAATCATTTATTATAGCTATAGCTGATCTGTAGTCATGAAAGATTCTGATTTTTAACATCCCCCTAACTCTTTAAGCTCAAGAAAGTGAATGCATTATAAATGTTTTAACCTCAGTTCTTTCTTTTGTTGTGTTTTTGAAACACTTGCATTGGTCATTAGCTTCAGTGTAAGTGCTGTTGAAACAGCCCCTGGAAGCTACAGTGAGGAGGAGAGGTATTAACAGTAACCACTGCTGGAAATATATATGTAATAAAATACCTTTCTTTAAAGTATGTTGAGTGTTGCTTAAAGAAAATGTAGCTTCCCTTGAATATAAAAATGATGATTGAAGTTTGATGCTTTAGAAATTTAGTTTGCTCTTTTAGTGACCTAGGGAAACATGGGTTAAAAAATAGCATATTGAATGAAGTGTGGTATACTCATAGAAGAAGTAAAAAAAAAAAAAAATGTGGATTAAATGAGTTTGAAAACAATTAGAGCTTAAATCCTAAGCCAGATTCATCATTAAAATGAAATGATAGGTCCTTGACCCTTGGGTATGCTTGGAATAAACATGGAACTCAGTATTGTTTTCCAAACTATTTTGCTTTTGTAAAGCTAAGACAGATGTACAAGAAAGATGCAGTTTTTATTTTGTATTGGCAGCTTCCAAATATTTAGTATCTATTTCCAAGAGTTGCAATTAGTAAAGCAACCATGGTACTGAAGTCTGCACATCCCACAGCTAATTATATTTGCAAGGTCAGAGTGAATACATATTTTCAGAAAAATAAAGGGTTATATAAATATGTGTCTTCTACTTGGCTGTTATATCACAGTTTGTTGATCTGGAGTATAATGTGTACAATTCACAAATTTGTCTGATAACAGAAAGTGGTGTGTGATTGTGTTTATTTTACTAACCAGTATATTCACAGCAATCACTTCCAAATATCTCTCCAGTAAAGATGTGTTAATTACAAAACAGACAAGGTCTTCTATTATATTAAAGCTACTAACAAGAAGACAGCAGGAATCACACATGTAAATAGCATCATCAACCCCTATTTTAGTCCTCTGTTTTGATCTGTGAGTTGCGCATAGACCAAAGGTGCTATTAAAGACTGAGTGTATGAAATAGGCAGCATTATATGAACAAAATTTATTCAACAAGAAAACAGACCTTTAACATGAATTTAACAAGCCTGAGAAATTATAAACTATCATATGCTGCAGATTCATGCAGTGATAATAAACAAAAAAAGGAAAGTAAGAGGTTTCCCTAAGCTAGCCAAACTGCTAATGGTTTTGTTATAAGCTGTCTACTGTTGCGGTGACCTCTGAAAAGTCTCAAGGCACTTGTACCAGAAAAAATTAACTGGCCAGGCTAAGAAATACAGATTCAGTGGGTTTGCAGGGCTTCAGCATGGACAGGAATTACTTTAAGTTTTCATTCTTCAGTGTGGAGGTTATTGTTTCTTTGGGGAGGTGATTTTGATGGAGTTTTTCTTTGTTTCTCTCTCTCTTTTAATTTTGAAGCACACAAGACAAACTAGTTTCATGTATACGTATTTCAAAGTGAGCCATAAAAAAAAGCAGAATGCTTTAAGAATGGATTATTCTTTCTTCCCCTGCTCCCTTCAGTGCCTTAAATTCTTGGAGGTTCTTTGTTTAGTGTGTTGCATGTTAGATTTATTTTCCTAACTGTGGAGTGACCACCTTGCTGTCATTCTGTTGCATCATTCTGTAAATACACAAACATGGAGAAACACCCTGAGCCCAAACACACCTCCAAGTTCTCACTAGGGCCTTTTCTTGAATCTTACTGTGGCATAATTAACACCTTCTTCACCCATTGCTCATTAGTGTACTGGACATTAATGAGTCTATTTTGATAGGTTGTTCTAAAGGAAAAATCCCCTTATTCTCACAGCAGAAAAGGCAATTATAAAAATTGTACAGAATATAAAATGTAGAATATATTGCCATATTTATTTTTTTATTACATGCTAAATCTAATTTTGGTCTGCAGGTTTTTGAACATGTTAGTTTCCTTAAGACAGTTGCTATAGCGATGGCAGAAAATTCCTTTAATCTTAGTGTAATCATTTCTATTGTTGCTCAGGAACTATCAGTCTGAACATGTCATTTCATATGGGTCATAATTTACTAGCGGAACAACATAATAAGTTCTTAAGTGTTGTAAAGTACTCATTTTTTTAATTCCACTGTTAAAAATAGGTCATGATATTCACATAAGACTTAACTGGCATTTTCTTTTATGACGTTTCATACCTGCTAGTAATATTCCATAGAAATGACACATTTTTGCATGAAAATTGCTAACTAATGTTTTAGTTTGAAAGCAGTTGGTATAAAAATGTACATAAGCATTTCATTGGGATATAATGAAATTTCCATAGTTTGTGACATTTTTTCCTAGAAATGACTTTTTCTGAACTCTAAGAACAGTTGAAATAAAGCTTATGATTTATTAATAGTTAATACATTAATAGTTAAAACCAATTGTGAAAGGTTATGATTAAATACTTCGCTTTGGAGCAAAAGGAGTTTTGGGAAAAATTCAGACCACAAGAATTAAAAGCAACATTAAAACGTACCATTATCAGTATTAGGACAACTGAAGTATACAAGGAGCTTATTAGATTGTCTCGTTATAATGTTTTGGTGTGAATTCATGATTGCTGTAAAAATAACCTGTATATTCTTCATAGTCTGTAGAAATACTTATTTGTGTGAAACAGGGCCTTACCGTGTAACTCTGGCTGGTCTCAGCCTCACAGAAACCTGCCTGCCTCTGCCTCCTCCAGAATGCTGGGATTAAAGGTTTGTACTACCAGGTTTGGCAATGAAGCCCTTAAGATAGATTTTTAGACCTGATTATATTACAGTTGGCTTAACTTGTAAATAATAGTTTTTAACATTTCAGTGTACTTTTCACGAGTTGTTTAACCAAAAACACATCTGGAAAACAGTGACTTTTATAAAATACTGACCGTCTCAGTTGTTAATACTTTTAAAGGTAAATCAAGAAATACTATATTTTCAAGTCTTGCTTTAAGATTGTCTTGAAAAGAGGCAGTCTGTCTTAGTATAACATAGTTTTACCTAACATCATACTTTTAAAAGCTTTAAGTTCTTTCAAATTCAAATGATGACTGTAAGTGTATCAGCAATATGATAGTGGGAAATAGCTGATTCTTGTTAATCCCTTGATATGTAAGAGCTAATTAACACTACATTGGGTTATGAAGGAATTTGAATCTTTTAATAGCCAAGATATATATATATATATATTCTTTTTTATGAACTTACAACCATGTTATATTGTTTCTATCTGAAAGCATGGGTGACCTTGGTTTTCTTATATTGTGCCTCCTAGGCTTGGCAGTGACTTGGATGTTTAAGGCCATAAGACAATGTATAAAGTATTTCAGAGTCAGAAGAAGTAAAGGCTATCTGACTAGTAGAGAGTACATGGGCAAGTGACGTGCTGGCTGCAATTTTGTTGTCATTTCAAGTACTGTGATGGCGTAATTGATGTGACAGGGCTGGGTCTTAGATGTAGTCCCTTAGCTTGTGCTCACTTTCAGTTTTAGATTCCCTGTCAGTCATTTTATCTAGGAAAATTTTAGGTAACAAATAAGCACAACAATGAAGGTTATTTGATGTATGCTTAGTAATGACATATTTTTAATAATAAAGATGCTAAGTTCATATTTTGCTGCTTTGTGGAAATCGCAATAATTGGTGTCACCTTACATTACAAGATAGAGGGTGGTATACTGATGGCACTATCAGCAGGAGGTTCTTTTTATTAATATTATAATTGAATGATTTTCTGGAAATAGGCCAAAAACAGATGCAAGTTGATCTTGCCTTGTCCACTGTTGCTTGGCACCAACACTTTTTCTTTTTTTTAAAAAAAAGAATTGACTTGACACCTTGTTTTACAGGTTGTTATTGATGCGTTCAGATTGATCAATGCTAATATGATGGTCTTAGGACATGAACCAAGACAAACAACTTCAAATCTGGGTCACTTAAACAAGCCATCTATCCAGGTAATGACTGTGTTTGATAATGTGTTAAAACTCTGTTTATAATGTTTAAATCTGCTGTCATCATTCTAAGTTCTAGTTCTTAATCATTTTAATTTTCTTATAAAAAGTCTTTTATTATTACTAATGTTTTAAAAGAGAATCTCAGCTTCTTTTGAGGCTTTAAGTTTGAACTCAACATGTGCAACAGAACAAAACTCATATGTGTACATATAATTCTTTTCTTGGTATCAAGAAAAGATGAGCCAGTTGATGGTAGCACGTACCTTTAATCCAAGCATTCATGAGGCAGAGGCAGGCAGAATTCTCTATGAATTTGAGGTCAGCCTAGTCTACACTTCTGTCTAGTTAATATCTAAGAGGAGGACCAATAAAAGTTTCAGGTGGGAACAGTTAGCTAACTTATATTGATTTCTAAAGAGTCTGTGTGTATGAGAGAGATAGAGAGAGAGAGAGAGAGAGAGAGAGAAAGGAGTGCATTTTAAGAGGTTACAAGAAACGGTTCCTAGGTAGTAATTTTTGTTTTATTCCCACCTTTTGATTAAAATCCCATAGGATACATACAAACATTACTTTTGACAAGTTTATATTTTGTTCATCTAATGATATCAACCACTGTTACAGTAGTTGTTGGGAGTTCAAACACTTAATACCCTTTGAGTGATTAGTGTTTTCTTTGTTCCATTCATATGGCTCATTGTTTAAACGCAAGTCTTTATGTCTGTAAGAAATTATGTTAAATGTGTTTTTAAATGCACAGTCTGTGTCTGTATAGGTAATTATTTCTCTAAAGATTAATTAATAGGACAAAAATACCATGTTTGATTACACAGGACACTCAAGACAAAGACATTATAGTAGCTACTGCTATTCCCCCTCTGAAACCTTGTTTTGCCTCAAGGTTGTCTTTGGGGAGTTGTGGCATTAGTTCTTCGCAATGGTCCAGCTTGGTTATACTTGATAACTTTGCATTTTTAAACATTTTTGCCATTGTCATTCATTCTAGCTCTTCATCATAGTGAAATGTTTTGTCTCAAAAGAACTGAGTATGTTGCTTTTGAAAAAATAATTTTTTTTGGCTAAGTTGGGGGGGACTACAGAGAATAATGAGTATGAAATAAGCTACCAGTGATTTTGATTGGGCACAGACAAGCCCATACTTGCATGTTCCAAGAGAATATATTATTGGGTCTGTTTAGCCCATGATAATGACCTTTCTTGTACACCTACACCCCCATAGCATCATCCTGCTTCATTATTTTCTACAAAAGGTTGAATAGCATCTCATAATCTAGAATCATTGTGATTACTACATGGTGTATTTCTACCAGAAGTTTTCACTAATTGCAAGTCACCAGTTACCTGCTGCATATTTCCTTTTTTAAAAATAAAATGCTGTCTTTTAATTTAAAAGACAGAATTGATATTAAATCTGATACCTCTGTATTAATCTACTTGGTAGTTTTTACTCCTGCTTTCTATCTGGAATTTTAAATGGGCCTTTTGAAGCAATTTTCAAGACTAAGTTTAAAAATTGCATTATTTTCCCATCATTTTAAATTTGTTTTTCCTCCCAATTAGAATCTGTAAATATATTTATTCCACAGTTTATGTAGTGCCCATCAGAATGGCATCTGTTTGGGTTCTTTACAGTTTTAAGACAATTTCAATACTAAGGTACACAAATAGGATCAAGCCAAAAAGGGGCGCACCTTAAAACTCTTTCATTTTGTATGACAAACGATAGAACATCCATAATTGAATTTGAATGTCCCTATGTCACATTTCTACGTTGGTGATAGGAACCTTTCAGAAATAGCATGCCTTTGTCTTGAAGGGAAAGTTAGCTGTGTTAAAAGGAAACTTGTTCCCAAGAAAACTTAGAAGTGGTAGAAGGGTGACAACAGTCACTAATGTACACTCTGAAAGTCATTGATGGCTCTCTAGCACTGGTGTCTCTGTTGTACTTAAAGATGTAGGAGAATATTGTGATCACATTCTAAACTAATTTAAAAATTAAATGGGATATACAAGTTCTCCATTTAGTAAGTATATATTAATATATATCAAGATGTTGGGTTCCATTATTTCTTGGTAGTAGACTAAGGGGATTACCCACTTTGTTTTTTCCTTATCCATATTTTTTTTTAAAACTTTCTACAGTAACACAGTATCTTTACAAAATAATATGTTATGTGTGCCTTATGTATTTTATGTGCAAATGTTTTGCCTGCATGTATGTTTGTGTACCACATGTATGCTTGACGCCCATGGAAGTTGGAAGAGGGTATCAGATCCTTTGGAATTGGCATTCTGTGTGGCTGCGAACCACCATATGAGTGCTGGGAATTGAACCTAGTCCTCTGGAAAAACAAGTGCTCTTAACTTCTGAGCCATCTTTTCAGCCCCAAGAAAAAAATGTTTTTAAGTGTTCGTGGCAATATTGAAGTAATTAACTAACGGTAAAGTTTACTTTCATTTTCAGAGAACCATTGTTATAACTAATCATGCTATTGGCTTCTATAGTAATATAGAATATAGTAATAAAAAAGCTATATTTGGACATGGATCATTTGACTATTATTGTCAATGTTTAGAAATGGCAGTATTTATTTTAATGATTAAATCTTTTTCAGAATTCCATTAAAAACTTGTTGGGCTTTTGGTGTTTTAGATCCCTATATGCCACAATAAATTTTGGAGTTGTCATCCTTTGATCATTTAGTAAACACTGGTTGGTGTCCAATGTATGCACCAGCTTTAAATCTCTAAGTGTGGCCCTGAGCATGCTTACATGCTTACATTGTGCGATTGAGTTAAAGTATTTGAAAACATTATTTTCAACAATTATAAAACACAGAGTTGTAAAACAATAACAGTGGAAACTATTGATTGTAACAGCCCTGAGACATTCTAGATGTGGCAGCTGAGGCCCAGAAAACTGAGCTGCTTCAGTTACTGTTAATTTATTCAAGACTGCTAGGTCTTCTCATACTTTATATTACACTTGGGAATTTAATGAATTAAATTTTGGCATAATTCATACGTTTCCTGTGTGATGCTTTTGTTTTGTTTTGTTTTGAGACAGAGTCTCACTATGTATTCAGGCTGGCCTGTCTCTGTGTAGTCCAGGGTAGTCTCAAATTTAGAATTCTGCTTGAACCCCTTTAGTGCTGGGATTACAAGTAATACCCAGCTAGCTGACTTACTGTGTCTGCAGTGGATCATGTGTGGAGGTTAACCAACCATAAATATACTGTATCTATACCTGCAGTTCTCAACCTGTGGGTTGCCATCCCTTTGGGGGGTCAAAAGACCCTTTCACAGGGGTTGCCTAAGGTCATCCAAAAACACAGGTATTTATATTACAGCTCATAACAGTAGCAAAATCACAGTTATGAAGTTGCAAACAAAGTAATTTTATGGTTGGGGGTTACCACTACATGAGGAATGAATTAAAGGGTCACAGCATTAGGAAGGTTGAGAACCTCTGTTCTTTACAGCCCTCTTGCTGCATGAGTTTATGACCTGGGATGGATACCCTAGAAGTGTATAGTAGGTGAGTAAGTAAAGTAGGAAGACTGTTGGCTATATTTGTTTTATTGTGTACTTGCTAGTCTTTCATGGTGCTTGTGTTAAGTTTTACTACATTTATCTGAGTAATAAAATTGAAAACCAAATAGCTCCACCAAACACCAGGTTGTTTGTTTCATTGACATTGGTGATTAATCTTTAAAATTAGGCCTGTCTGTGGATTCAGTGATTGGCCTCTGGGTTTATTGGTCAGAACCATTGTTAGTTTTGCCAGCATGTACATTTTATAGTGCAGTTAGTGAGTGTATTGTGCAATCCTTTGATGATGAACAGTTAAACCCCAAGCTCCACTCCCCAGTCAGGCCTTATCTGCTTAGAGAAATGCTCATACTTACCCAGATCTCCACCCAGAAGATACACCTCCTGATGTGTGCAAGGGTAAGTTCAGGGTTAAAGAATCCCTGGTCGGTTTTACTCCTGATCTGTGAAGTACATTTTTATTCAATGAAAGCTGATATACTACTTCTGGTAATTATTGAAAGTGGATTTACTAGGTTTTCTTAATGGCTAAATTTCATGTATCGGCTATTTGAAATCTACTACTGCTTCCTGTTGACTTTAAGATTTAGTTTTATAGAAGATATTAGTAATGTGAAGATTTGTTATCCTGGGAAATATCAAGTGTTTAATATCTAATTTTATACCTAATACTTAAATTTTAATTTTTTTTTTAAAACAGTAATTCTTTAAAATAAAACTTAAAATGTGTAGACTTAGTCTTACCCGGGATTGCATTGTAGCACAATACATCAGAATGGACATGGGTTACAGAGTTAGTGATCTGGCTTCAAATCCTCAGTGCTGCCTCATATTAGCTATTAATTAGGATAAATTAAGAGTTAATGCCCCCCTCTTTACTCTTCTGTCATGTACACATAGATGGAGCCTACTAGATTGTTGCATTGGAATGTGTGGAATGGATGCTAGGCAATCATTAGATATTCACTTCCCTGCTCTTCTCCTCCGACTTAGCACTTTTAAGACTTAGATGGTAAAACCCCTAATTAGGAAGCAGTGGTTATTTGGTTAGCTCTGTCTTTATTTTCCGACAGTTAATCCCACATCCTTTTGATTTTTTGCAATTGTTAAATAGTATAATTCTGTGCCTTTGTGTCTTAGGAGGCTAATGTGTTGTTTTTTGTTTTTTGTTTTTTTATAGGTTTCTCGAATACTGTTATGAGCTACAGTTGAACTTATGTTGCTAGAGCGTTAGATACTTAAGCAGTATATAGCATAGTTATTTTTACTTTTTTTAATTGAAAATAATTCTTTTTTCCTACAGCATATTCTAATAACTGTTTCCCCTCCTCCATCCACTTCCAGATCTCCCCGCTTCCCCACCCACCCAACTCTAAGACTTCTTTAGAAAACCGGCAATAAAGAAATAAGAAAAAAAGCCTAAGAACTACACATTCACACTAACAAAACACATATTGAAACCATAATATTCAAGCAAAAGACCTATAAAATTAAAAAAAAATCCCAAACAAAGCATTTTGAGACAAAAACAATCTACATACAAAAAATACCATTGAGTTTGTTTTGTGTTGGTTATCTACTGCTGGGCATCGGGCCTGCCTTTATTTATGTGTAGTTTGTATTCCCAGTGAGTCTTCATTGGAAAAAACTAATTTTTCCTTTGCGAGTGGTTGTCAGTTGGAGATAGCTTCTTGGTTAGGATGGGAGCCTCTGTACACTTCCCCCTCTCAGAGCTGGGACCTTACCGGTCCTGGATCTGTCAGGCCTTTTGTGTGCTGCCACAGTCTTTGAGTTAATGTGTGTCCATCCTGTTGTATCATCTATCCCCTCTGGCTCTTAAAATCCTTCTGCCTTGTTGTAGACATTGTTCCCTGAGCCCTGAGGAGTGGAACTTAATGAAGGCAGCTCATTTAGGACTGAGTGTTCCAAAGTCTCTCACTCTCTGCATGTTATCCATTTGCCCAGTTGTGGGTATGAGTTCCCATCCTCTGCAAGACAAGGCTTCTCTAATGATAGCCCAGAAAGACACTGACCTTTGGGTGTAGCAGAGAGTGTTGTTAGGATCATTTTGTTGTACACTGCTTTAGCAGAGCAATAGTATTTGGCTTCCCCTATAGTTACTTTTTTTTTTTTTTTAATAACTTAAAGTTTTTATTGTGACTGCCCTATTCATCTTGGAGATTGAGTTTGAGTAAAATGAAAATAAATTCTGATAAGTGAGATTTTGATTTCTTGGTTACTGAATTAAGAGTGTGAGTGAGAAGACATGTTAAAGAACAAGCTTCTGGGTCTCAACAGATAGCTCAGTTGGTGAATGCATACTGCGGACACTTGACAGACATGAGGTTAAGTAAAAAGTGACAGTTGCATCTGTAACCCAGCACTGAGCTAGGGCGGGCAGACCCCAGAAGTCCATTTGCTAGCCAGCAGAACGTTGAGTCAGTAAGCGCTAAGTTTAGTGAATAGACCCTGTCTTAAAAATTAAGGTGGAAAGCAGTCAAGGAAGACTCCTCAAATTGACCTTAGGTCTCTACATGCAAGAAGACACAAATACATGGGCATATATGTGAATTAGTACACACACAAGACACACTCATACTGTTCTCATTGGTAATTTGGAGACTTGCCTGGACACAAGTCTTTGAATTAGTGAAAATTGAGTTAACAAAAAAGGAAACACCAGATTGATATAGATGGAGAAACAAGTGTACTATTACAGTCTTTTAGATTTTTCTTCTGAAATAGCTCTTTCCTAAACACCATAAAAATCAGACAATAAATTATGGATAGTTGGTTTGTAAAAGGCTGTGAGTTCAGACTTTTTGCTCTGGCCCCTGTGCAAGGCTGTGGAAAGTTTTGAATTAGTGAAGTACCTGTAATGCTTTGAATAATTTGTCACTAGTCCTTTACACTTTTATCTTTAAGCTTGTACCTGAGAAAATATTTTAACTTACTCTGTATTTATAATATGATCCCTTTAAATTTTTTTTTAAAAATTTATTACATTTCATTTATTTTGTGTTATGTGGAGGGGACTTGCACGTGCCAGTCCTCTCCTTCTGCCATGTGGGTCCCAGATATTGAACTCAGATTGTCAGGTTTGGTAGCAAGGGCTTTTATCAACTACACCAGGCATGGTGAGTACTTAGACTCTAATCCCAGGTCTCAGGCAGAGGCAGGCAGATCTCTTACGAGTTCAAGGTCAGCCTGGTGTGTTGTGAGTAAGGTTTTTCCCCTGCTGGCCTGGACCCACCGCAGCCTCAATGAACACACAGAGACTCTGTATTTGATATAATGATGTTGGCCAGGTACTAGTTTCTTATCGGCTAGCTCTGTCTTAAGTATTAACCCATTTCTAATAATCTAAGTATTTCCATGTGGTCTCATCTTACTGGAGAATGGGCCCGGACTTCTGTTCTCCAGTATCTCCATGTTGATTCCTCCTTACTACTTCCTCGAATCCTCCTTGTCTCCTAGTCCCACCTATCTTGCTTTCCTATTACTCATTAACCAGTATGAGAAACATATATACAGAATGGCATCTCCCATCATCTCCTCTTTTCTGTCTAAATAAAAAGAAGGATTTTTAACCTTAGCATATCAAAATATATCACACAACTGTCATAAAATCCCACTTCTGACACCAGATATCGTGGTTCAATAAGGATCAGGATAAACAGTTAGACCGAACAGATGTTTATTCAGGGAGAAATAACTCACAACATAGACAGATGAACATCAGCAGGTTTTTAGTCCCAAGGATGCCTCCAGAAGTCCTCCTGTTCCCGTGCTGCCAGCAAGAGAGCATTCCCCAGCTCCTCCTTAGACCTAGTTCCACAGGTCACTCCCTCCCCTGGCTGCACCCCCCAATGGGCGTGGTCAGTGCCACAGAAGGAGACAAAGTGAATATCCCACTACACTAGTGCACATAGTGAGTTTCAGGCCAGACAGAGCTACATAGTGAGACTGTGTTAAATAAGTAAAGATGATGTGCATAAGATGTGTCAACAGTTTCAAACATTTGTGTTTGATTAGGTGAATGATTAATTTATCATATAAAATTGTTTCTATAGGCATTAATTCATGGACTAAACAGACATTATTACTCCATCACTATTAATTATCGAAAAAATGAACTGGAACAGAAGGTAAGTTAATGAAAAATCTTATTATTTTTTATAATTACATCTGTGAGTGTTTTGCCTGCATGTATATCTGTGTGCCACTTAAATGCCCAGTGCCCTCAGAGATCAGAAGAAGCTGTTGAATGCCCCAGAACTGGGGTAAACCTCCAGATGTGTGTGCTGGGAACTGAACTTGAGTCCTCAGTAAGAGCAGCATGTGCTTTTAACTGTAGAACCATCTCTCCAGCCCCTTATATTTATAATAATCATTTAGTTCATCTGTTCTCTCAGAACAGAAGCCCCACTGTTGCCCTTATCTAACTAATTGGATATTGAACCTCAAGCCTTTTTGTGAGTGACCCAGTGGAATCCTTGTCTAGGCATGATAGGGATGACTATGTTGATAAAATCCCATTCTCTGCATTCAGTTATGGGTGATGTAGAGCATGGGTGAGTACAACCTTTGGTGCTGACACATAGAAAAGTTGGAAAGTAAGCGAAGAAATTAGAATTACTTGGGCATAATATTCTCTGGTTGGTTTTGTTTTATTTTGTATGTTTTGTTCTGTTTAACAAATGCTATTCTTGCCCCGAGACCAAAGGCAGGGTCTTTTACCTTAAGAAAGCCTCATAGTGATTTTCACATGTGACTTATTTTCCAGCAGAAAATAGACTTTGCGCACCTATGAAAGTAGTTGCAAACCTCTAAGCAGGATAATTAAAAAAAAACTAATGAGCAAACCCAAATATTTCCAGAAGTTATATGTTGAATTTGTGATTGAACAATTAAAAGTATACTGTGGGGTTTTTTGTGTGTGTGTGTTGGGGGTGTCAGTCTGTCTGATGTTAGGGATTAAGGTAGGGTCTTCTGTATACAAAGCAAGTCCTCTACCACTGAACTATAACCCTGACCTCTAACAGGAGCTACTATGGTTATAGTGACACTGTAGCATCAAGCAGTCTGTTGCTGTGATGTTTTCTTCACATTTCATAATATATTCAAATATCATAAGAAAAAGCTTTAACTCGGTAGTAGTACTTAACTGAATGCAAATTCTAGAGTATGACTTTGAAGAAAATTTTTTTAACATTGTAAGAATGGACTCAGTGTTCTTGTTCTTATAGAGGACCTGAGTTTGGTTTCCAGCAGCCACATCAGGCTGTTTACAGCTGCTTGTAACGCTATCTCCAGCGGATCTGATGCCCTCTTCTGGCCTCTGCAGACACGTGCACATATTTACACATAGTGGATTTTTAAAAAAGGAGTAAGTCTTATGAAAAATGTAGGAGATTAGTCAGGGAAACAGGGACAGGGGGAAGAAAACTGAACTTCGGCAGGTGAGATAGCCCACAGGTATAAGTGCTTGATGCCAATATAATGTCCAGAGTTCAGTACCTGGGACCCATGTGGTAGAGGGGAAGGACTGACTCCCTCAAGTTTTATCTGACCTTCACATGTATGGTTTGGCATGTGTGCTCACCCCACCCCCAAAAAAATAAATGTCGTAAAAGGAAATTGTAAATTTGTAAGGCATGTGAAGTGTCATGGCCTTTGGGGAGGCTGAATTAAGGCAGGAAGCTTGTGAGTTTACAGCTAGCCTGGGCTATATAGTGTTACTCTTAACCCCCCCCCCCCAAAAAAAAGTATGCATGTACACAGACATATACTCTCTAAGTATTTGAGCATGTAAAGATACAGTCTTTGAACTTGAGTCCAATTTGGGACACTAAGTTGTTTAGATTCTTAATAGGTAGCCGGTCCCAGCTTATTGGTGTATTTCAAAATTGAATATTTCTGTGATGTTTTTCCTAGTTTGTTTTTTCAGTCCTGTCAACAAGTAAATATTAAGTTTTTATAGCAAATGTGTGTAATATAAGAGTTCAATACAACCTTTGATTTATCGGCTTTTTTCCATTGTGGTTAGATATCTTAGAATCTAGCTAGACCCTGGGGAATCTTAAATATAACTTGATACAGTAAAGATATAGATACTATAAAAAGTAACAGGAGAACAAGGGAAGAAAAATCTTTGTTCAAACAATGTGAGATGGTTGTTTTCAGTCAGTATGGTTAGGAAAGGCATTGTCTCTAGTGTGAGAACAAATGACTGAGTCCTGCAAAGATGGCAACAACTGAGGTCAGTATCAGAGGCAGAGGACATGGAGCACCTGGCTGTATTAATATAAATTTCCAACTGGTACTTATTTGAATGGATAAAATCAAATTCATTAATTTTTTTGTGAAGTTTTTTTTCCCCCTCAAGACAGGGAAGGCAATATTACTAAGGTAATAAAATAATTTCCTATTTCTTATATGTTTAGATGCTGTTAAATTTGCATAAGAAGAGTTGGATGGAAGGATTGACACTTCAAGATTACAGTGAACATTGTAAACACAATGAATCAGTGGTAAAAGAGATGTTGGAATTAGCCAAGAATTATAATAAGGTAAAAAAATATTTGTTTTCTTCATAACTGATAAAGTATGTATAATTAGGTATTAAGTGGTTATATAAAATAAATAATTAAAAATAGGCCAGTTTTGTAGGTTAGAAAATAAATATATGATGTTTAAGTAGGTAATCTTGTATTTTTCTAAAACCTAGCACCATTATGTAAATGCTGCCATAGAAAAGATGTGAAGAAAACAACTGGGTTCTTTTAAAATAGGCAGCTAGGGATCTAGAGAGATGTCTTAGTGATTATGAGCACCTCTTATGAGCTTCTCTTAGAATCTGAGTGGTTCCCAGCACCCATGTTAGACAGCTGATAACTCCAGCTCCAAAGGGCTTGGCACATGGCATATACATGTAAATACACATTCATATAAATAAAAAATAAGCTGGGTGTGGTGGTGTGCACCTTTAATTCAGCATTCTGGTGGCAGAGGCAGGCAGATCCCTGAGTTTGAGGCAGCCTTGGCCTAACAAAGCTAGTTACAGGATGTCCAGGACTGTTTGTTACACAGAGAAACCTTGTCTCCAAAAAGTAGAAAAATGCTTTTTCTTTGCTACATATAATATAATGAACTTTTTGTTCTGGGTGGGAGCAGTTCAAGACAGGGGTTCTTTGTGTAACCTTGGCTGTCCCAGAGCTAGCTCTGTAGTCCAGGCTGGCCTTGAACTCAGATCCAACTGTCTCTGTCTCCCAAGGGCTGGAATTAAAGGTGTGCACCACCACCTCCCAGCTTATTTAATGAACTTAAAAATTTTCTTTTCTTTGCTACATATAATTTATTTAATTGAACTTTTACATTTTTTCATTTAATTAGTATTTACTGAGAACCTACTATATGCCTGATACTGGGACATGCTAAAAACTAAAGTATTAAAAGTCCCTATTTCCCGGAGAGCTTGCTTTCTGAAAGAGAGCATAAACAAAGCTAGCACAGTAATTAGTTCATGCTGTGGAAAGAGGAGTGACCAGGGAGACTGACTTCATATGGGGCCATTAAAAATCATGTTGTTAAAAAATCATGCACAATCCCCTGAAAATATTTATATGGTAAAATATATGTGGTTATTGGTTTGGGGAGATGCTCCATCATTAAAGGCCTAAGTTGCAACCCCAGCCCACTAAAAAGAGTTTGGTGTGATGCCAGTGCTGCCTGGGTAGAGATAGGCTTGTTGACCAATATACAGAATTGCCAAGACAATTTGTAGCTTCCAGCAACAAATGAATGCGTTGTCTGTCTGTCTGTCTTTAATACTGTTCAGTCATTACAAATGCAAGAAACTTTGTCATTGCAACATGGTGATCCTGGAAGACATGGTTAAATGAAATAAAATAGATACAAAGAATTACAATATGTGAAGTCCAAAAAGCCCAAACTTAGGAGTAGAAAATAATGAAATAATGGCTTTTAAAGTTTTGAAGCTGGTGGTAGGACAGGTTTGGAAAATGAAAAGGCATGGGATATATTTATGAAATGGTATGTGTGGCTAGAGTGTGTATGAAGAAGAATAGGAGGGAGTTAGAGTTAGTTTGGATCAGGGACATGACATACCTAGAGCCTGACTTTAGAAACCTTGAAGAGATTTGAATGAATGTTACACTACATGGCTGTGTTGATAGTGGCAGTGGGAATGGAGGCACCACTGATTGGATTCTATGAAAAGAGGAGAATTGAAGATGAATGTAACATTTCCTGCCTACGTGACTAGAAGTATGTTAGTAGCAGTAACCTTTTTTCCTCGTGGTACTTTATAGGTTGTTCTTCCCGCTTGCTCTGCTGTGCCCCATCCCCTCTGTGCTCTACCACTTCGGTATTCTCGCTTTCTACTTGATGGCATACTTCCTGTTGTTTTCCTTCTCACAGCTCCCTTTCTAGTTCCATGACCTATACCCAAACCGCCATCAAAAACATGCACATATATAAAAATCCAAAGCTACATTCTTTTAAAAGTTTGAAATGTGGGATTGAAAATTAATAATGCTGGGCATATGGATCTCTGAGTTCGAGACCAGGCTGATCTACAGAATGAGTTCCAGGACAGCTAGGGCTACACACAAACAGGGAAAACAAAACAAAAAGAAAAAAGAAACGAAAATTAAAAGTAAAGGCTGGAATGAAAGATTTAGGAGTCATAGTTAAGACTGATTCTTGTAAGCCAGGCTGTGGTGGCACATACCTATAATCTCAGCACTTGGGAAGTGCTGGGTCTTGTGTCTCTGAGTTCCAGGACAGCCAAGGCTATATAGAGAAACCCTGTCTCAAAAAACAAAAGATGATTATTGTAACACCAGAAAGTAGTATTTCTGTTTTAAGTACTTACTATAATATATTAAAAAAATACTATTCAAGAAGACAGTATATAAGAATTACCAAATGTAACATCAAGTCATTTGAAAGAATAAACTTTGAAATTAAAGGTAACAGGTTCTTCACAACTAAATTCCAGCAGTTGGGTTAGGTTTTTGTCATACATATCCTTGAGTATGATATTTCAGCTGGAACCCCCTGGTAAGTGAATTTTTTTTTTCTTAGTGTTGCTTTCATGCTGTGCGGATGATTTACATATAGAAAAAAGTCATTTATCATTTAAAATAGTTAACCTTTTTATTATAAAAACAAAACAAAGTTAGAACAAGTTGTTATTCAGCAGACTGTAGGAATGGTTTTTATTTCTCTGTGACACTACATTTAAGTAAATTCATATTTCCTTCTGCCAGGAAATAACTTATTTATGGTTACTGCTGCCCATCCATAGAAGTCCCCCCCCCCCCATATTGCAGTTTAAAAAAAAAAATCTCTGTAGCACTAAAAATCTTGTAAGGTTCAGTTAAAAAATGAAAACAGTGTGTAAGCTGTGATATGAAGAGTCCAAATTTGGGAATGTAATTCCCTCTATGATTGAAAGAAATACGGTGAAGTTTTTATAGTAACACTTAAAATATACAGGGAAAGGCCCATACCACCACAGTTCTTCATGGCATTCTTTTTAATTGGTTGGTTTTTTAACTAAGGTAATTATTGTTAGATGCCAGTCAGGTCCTAAAGTAAAAGGAGTTTGAAGATAATTAAATTCTTATGGTCTGAATTCCACACAGGAGCTCTGCTTGATATTACTCATTTGGTTTTTCTAATTACTGAGCTGTAACACCTGACGCACTGTGCTCCAAACCCTGGATCTATGCAGACTAAAATGTTGCTGCTAGATTTTAAAACTGCTAATGTATTTGTAAATGAATGTATAGGTGAAAAATGTATTGTAAAAGATCATTTTACACATAACACAAAGTCAGATGTAGGGGTGGTGCATGCCTTTAATCCTAGCACTTGGGAAGCAAAGGCAGGTAGATCTCTTTAGTTTGAGGACAGCCTGGTCTACAGAGCGAGTTCTAGAACAGCTAGAGCTGTTAAAAAAAGAAACCCTGTCTCAACAAGACAAAACAAAACAAAACAACAAAAAAAAAAAAAAAAAAAAAACATAGAAACAAAAATCTTGCATTTTTATGCACATAACTCAATACATCGTAAGACCTAACAACTTTTTAGATAAGGTATTTTTATATTCATAAAAACTAAGTATATTTGGTTTGTCTCAGTATGTATATTATGTAGAAAATTTTGTGCTCATGTAATTAGATAAGAAAAGCAAGAAGATAAAAATATTGAGGAAAAATGGGTCAAATCATCATTGCTTGAATATGTGATAGGTTGTAATCAAATAGAAATCCAAGAGAATAAAGAGATAACTTTCAGAACTGTCAGATCAAGAATGTTATAGGTGGTTGAAGTGCTTTTTAAAACAAATAGTAAAAAGAATTAGAAAAAAATGGTATTTAGCATGAAAAAGTTTCCCCTTTACTAAAGAAAAAGAACCTAACAAGTAGATAAAACTTTCAACATTAAAAGTTTATGAAATGTACTACCAGTGGGAATAGTCTAATATTTTATAGGTTGTGTTTGATTTTATGTGTATGTATGTTCACATCGTGCATTACATGCATGTATGTTTACCATGTACATGCCTATTGCTGAAGGAGGCCAGAGAGGACATTAGATCTCCTGGAACTAGAGTTACAGAAGGTTGTGAACTGCTGTGTGGATCCTGGGAACCGAATGAGTCCTCTGGAAGAATAGTATGGATGTTTAACAGCTGAGCCATCTTTGTAGTCCCTTGAAAGAGATACTTATTTTAAATATATCTCATATGTCAACATTGTTTTAGTATAGTAACATTGTCATCTTTGAGGTTGGAGATAGGAAATTCTATACTTACTGTAACTACTTTTTTTTTTTTTTTAACTTCTAATGTCGTGCATGTTTACTCAAAATAGCAATTGCTTAAATGAAATTGAAGTTCTGTCTCTTATTCTTTAAGGCCAGTTTGAAACTTCACAGTCAGATTCTGATTCCTTCTGTCTCTCTGCTCTACTTTCATTGTATTGACATCCATCTTTTAAGTCATAAGGCACAGGGCAGTTGCTAAACCTAATTTGACACAACTGGAGAAAAGGAAAACCAAGGGGTGAATCATTTTTAGGAGCCTTTGTATTAGTCCAGCCAGCAAGTGTGATTACCTCTCAGTGGCAGAACATGGCCCAGTGAGCATACCTGATGGCCCAATGAGCATACCTGGCAGCAAGAAAGTCTACATAATGTAGTCTTGTAGCTGAGAGCATTGATGCCTTCAGGAAAATCAGTTACGTGGAAAAGAAGATGGATATTGGAAACTACCAGATAATACCTTTTACCTTGTTTGTTGTTGTTGTTGTTGTTTTGTTTTGTTTTTGGCAGTTTCTCACAGAGCCTCTGTTGGTACCTACTATCTAGGCCAGACTGGCCTTGAACTCTCAAGAGATCCTCCTGACTCTGCTGGGATCAAAGGCGTGTACCACCATGCTGGGCTCACCAGAACCCCTTTTAATTTTCAAAAAGCTGAATTTGCAAATTGCTGTTACACATGCAGATGTTTACATACTCATGCCATCTGTATTTTATATCCATTATTTGATCTCACTATGCTTTAAAATTGAATTCTCTGCTAAGATTTTTGCAAAGAATCTGTTTGGGGTTGTCTGATAAGTCATGTATTTGTCTCTATTACTATTCATGATGTACAATCTAAAGAAATGAGTTTCCGGGCTAGAGGGATAGCTCAGCCGTTAAAGGCTAGGCTCACAACCATAAATATAAGAAATGAGTTTCCCTAGTTACTGATGTTGCTATGAAGCTGGGCACTGGTGCCTCATGCCTTTAATCCCAGCACTTGGGGCAGACGTGGTCAGGTCTCTGAATTTGAGTCAAGTCTGGTCTACAGAGTGAGTTTCAGAACAGGCTCCAAAGCTACAGAGAAACCCTTCCTTAAAAACATACATACATACATACATACATACATACATACATGCGCTGCAATTTAGTAGTAATAGTAGTCAAAAGTTTTATTGTCCTTTATATTCAAGTCTCTTCTATCTTATAAATTGCTTTATGTTTGTTCATTTTGCTTTCCAAAATTTATTTTGTAAAAACCATTTATTTAGATTTTCTGCTTCTGTAATCCATAGTGTCGTTTTAATTATATTCACTATGAGAATAATTTTTTAAAAAAAATCACAAAAGAAATAAACACTTAGCAGGTACACAGGTTGTTTACTGGTGAAAACATGGTATATACCATTCTAGCAGCTTTTTTTCCCATCTTTTGTTACATTACAAATAAATTGCTCTATTGATATAGAAATTTTAGCATGTTGTAGAATGGAGGAAGAATGTTAGTAAAGAAAAAAGGGTTATTAAAAGGTGTATATGGAATAAGATAATGTTCAAAACCGTGGTTAAGGGATGAGTGAGAAAACAGGTGTTGGAGCAATTGTACAGGTGTTCATAAAACTGGAGTTGCTCTGTGGATATCTGTCAAAGAATGCTATTAACATGCCAGGGCTCCAGTCTGTATTAAAAGATAAATAATGGTGAAATTTGAGATATTGTTCATTTGAAAATTTTGTTCATTAGTAGAAAAAAGAGAATGCTATTAATGGGTTTAATAAAAGTCTCTTTAAGATAGAGGGTACATTTGAGGGGATTACGATCACATAACAGACCAATTCCAAGAATTTCTTAGAACTGTGCAGACCGTGCATGATGGGATAGCCATCTGGGGGTCTTTGTTGATAAACTGTTAAAAACGTTTCTAGTGTGAATAGCCACAAACATTTTCAGTGCTTTTTTGTTGGTTGAGTAAACCGAAGAGCACGAATGCAAAAGCAAATTTTGAAGCCAAATCACAGAAGTTGCCATAAACACAGAAGTTCCCTAGTGAGGACACTGCCTGTGCCTGAATTTCATTTGTTTCTGCTGCTACCATTTCTTAATTTTTCCTGGGGACTAGCCAGATTAGAACTGTGAATGAAGACAGACTAGTCTTGCCCAGATGGTAGGTGAGATCTAGGTAACTTAGGTAGGGAGACAATACTGGGGACCTGGATGCCATGACCTGGTCTGTCTTATACTGGAAGGGATGTGCTTTCATCTCCTGTCATGGGGGTTTGCAACCTTAGTGTATGCCTGAATCTGCAGCTGCTCCTCCTCTCCCAGATGGCACCCATGGCTGGGAGTACTTTTTACCATCTGCACTTCTCAAAGAGTTTGTGAACTCTCTTTAATTATTGGGGATAGAAAAACTAATTGGTAAAGTGGTTAAATGTTGTACAAGATTTTAAAATTTTATCAGTGCTTTTTATATCCTATTTGTCCTTTCAAATAATATTAAAAAGCTTTAAGTGCTTTTGACTTTCATATTTGTATATTTGCCATCTTTGATACTTGCATTAATCCAAAATATTCTCTAATGGTTATTTATATGCAGATTGGTATTTTGAGCCAAATTCCAAAGTATTGCCTCCTTCCAGTACTGTAGTAAGTACTATTGTTGCCATGTGTGCAGAACAGCTAACACTGAATGGGTATGGAGTACACACTTAGGAGACTTGTTCCATTCAACTAACATATTTTCAAATCAGCAAAGGACAGTGTCATAATTGTGAAAGTAATTTAAAAGATAAACTATATTGCCTTTCAATACTTCTATTTTTGTAAGGCATTGAAAAGTAGGAAAACCAATTTCCTAGTTAGAAATACTTTTATAACTAGCAGAGACTAATAGAGTGACATCTGACTTAGAAAATGAACATATTCTCTGTCTGGGGAATTCTAGTTGGAGTGTTTGTGACTTTTAGTTTTCCTGCTTTCAGGTTTGAATGTAATTCCTAATATGTTATAAATAAGCATTCTCCTGTAATCAGCAGACACAGGAGATATTCACCATCTTTTCTCTTTAGGCAGGTTCTACTGGCGAAAATTCTCTAGATAGTTTGTCCATTTATAAAATTAGACACTTGCCATCTTTGCTCATTTTCAAGTTCTCTGTTTACAAAACTATTAAGAAGGTGTGAAATACAGCCAAACTTCCCAGTTTATGGGAAATGTCTGATGATTGCATTTCCTACATGTTCATTGTTCACACATGAAGAAATTTGGCAGCTGTGAGATTATTAAGTTTAGAGTGTCCAAATCTAATCCTCCCTGGGACTTGGGTTTTCTGCTTTCTGACACTACTATTTTACCCCCTTTTGTAACCATCTTTGTGGTAAATGCTGTAGTAGCATTTTTGGAGGTAAGTGATCATTAAGTCTCTTCATCTTCTCTTTATAAGATGCCATAAATAAATTATAGATCACAAGTTCACCAAATACAGGTTCTATCTTTAGGTTCTAATGCCCACACTATCCAAATGCAGACTTCTTCAGGTTGGCATGCTCTGTGAAGAGGTTTGTGAGATGTGGTTATTGGGATGGCAATGCTGCAGTTGTAGCCAAAATGTTCTAATTACTGTGAGGTTTTCTACTAGAAAGCTAGTAAGTCGCAAAGAATTTGTAGTTAACTCTAAAGTAGTAGAAAATGGTTTTTCATGTGCTGTTAATTTGGTTTTTAATTATTATCTTTTTTCTTTTTCTTTTTTCTTTTTTTTTTTTTTTTAGGGCAGGGGTGTTTCAAGACAGGGTTGCTTTGGAGCTTGTCCTGGAACTCACTCTGTAAGACCAGGCTGGCCTCATACTCACAAGAGTTCTGCCTGCTTCTGCCTCTGCCTCTGCCTCTGCCTCCTGAGTTCATGAGCCGCAGCCACCTAGCTTTAATTTCTATAATTAATTTGATGCTAAAAAACTTGAAATTATTTCTTTATGGTTACTTCATGTGGAATTGTGAGTTTTTTCCCTAATGTATATTGTAGAGGGTTAAAGATGTGTAGAGATTAACTCATGATGCCATGAGTTAAATCAAAAAGTCAGCAGATATTTTGATCCTTAATAATACTAAGTAGGTATTAGATACACACAGACTGGATTGGCAGAAGAAATGAAGGAGAAATGGGGACTTTAAGGGGATGGGGGTTTAGTAACACAGAGGCTACCCCAGACTTTCATGTCCCCATTTCTTCAATGCCATTTAGTGATCCAGTGTGATATTTTCTGGTATTTATATATTTCATAAGTGTTTCTAAATGATAGTGGTAATAATTTTCATTACCCTGAAGATTGTTCTGGATTAACAAAATTGCTGTTTTCAACAGCTTGTTTGAATGAAAGATGCTCTGCATGAAAATTTGATCACCTTTGCTTTGGTGGTTATTCTTCAGTGGGAAAAGTAAATATGGAATTTGAAACTCTGTCCTTTGTGTTCATTCACAGGCTGTAGAAGAAGAAGATAAGATGACACCTGAACAGCTGGCAATAAAGAATGTTGGCAAGCAGGTGAGGAGCTGTAATAGGTTATACAGTTGCATGCTAACATGCTCTTGTAGTGTTAAATCTGTTTTAGGGAGTATAATTTTTTCCTTGTCTGTTTATACTACATCTTCTGTCGTTTAAACACAGTAAATTTTAAAGGCTACTATATTTATTAGATATAAAATTCGCTTTGGTTTCTGTAGAGAAGAAATCATAAATATTTATGATATACTATCCTTAGTGAAAATAATATCCTGAAAACAAAGGACACTTGAGTCCTGAGATTATTTTACTGTAGATGAAGTAAAATGAAAATGATGATAGATTATTTAACTAATAACCATCTTCTTAATGATATAGTTAGCAATAGGTAGGTAGTATTCCTGCAGATTTACTTCATATATAACCATTATTTAAAGATACATTTTGTTACTATATAGCCGATAATGCCCTGAGAAAGCTTAGAATTTTATTGACTACTCTGTAAGGGTTTAAATAGTGATTCTTTTGCTCTTCTAATATGAAATATATATTTAATCCTAGTTATCAGAGGATGGGGGAACACACCCAGCAATTAAAAGAATCTACAGATTAATTAGACTGTTTTTCTAAAGAATGTTGATTACATTTTTCCCGTTTCATGGAACATGGTTATCATATTGCTGATGTTGGCAGAATCGTGATATTTCAGATGCAAGACACTAAGCTGTCTTTGCTTTCAGCCATCCTACCATATGCTCTGATCCCATCACATCTCACAAGCTATGTAGGTTTGGGCCAGGACCATTCTTGGATAGGAAATCTCTAAGAATCACCCAGCTGCCACAAGTAACGTGGATAATTGATAAATGAGTTACTGATTTACTGTAAAACCAATTAATCCATCAGAGTAGTAGGGTCAGAGGTCTGACTTTATCATAAATTATAAAGGAAGAACTCAGATATGTGTATAATTATTACAGTTTAAAAATGAGTGCCCTCAAACCAAAATAAAACAAAGTTCATCGTATTTTCCAGTCTGTGTGATATCAGCCTTGTTTTCATTTTCTGCTGCTTATTATCATCTGATATGTTAGATTACCAGTTTGGAGCATTATGCTCTCTAGAACTCACTAAATAAATTACTTTCTGAGGCTGTGGTTTCTTAAGACACATATTTTCTTTTATGGCGCACAGGAAAATGAAAGGACTAAATTAAAATTGAAACTGGAATATATATATATATGTGTGTGTGTGTGTGTGTGTGTGTGTATACATACATACATATACATATATAATTGATGAGGTTTAGAAATCATCAGGCTCACCAGGTGGTGGTGGTGAACACCTTTAATCCTAGTGCTCAGGAGGCGTGGGCAGGGGCTCTATCACTGAAAGTTTGAGGCCAGCCTAGTCTGTGGAGAGTTCCAGGACAGCCAGAGCTATGTAGAGAATCCTATCTCAAAATAGGAAAGGAGGGAGTCATTTGAATCATTTTGTTTTTGTTTTGTTTTATTTTTGAACTTAAATGAGGAGTTTATTCAGAAAGGGGAGTGAGGAAGAAGGGAAGAGACATAGAGGCACCGGGAACAGAAGAGGAGAGAAGGGAAGAGAAGAAGGGGGGAGTACCTGGTGGCCAACAGAAAGCAGGAGAGAGAGAGGAAGAGCTGTTTTGTTGTTTTAAGGCAGGGTTTCACTGTGTAGCCCTTGCTGTCCTGGAACTCACTATGTAGATCAGGCTGGCATCAAAGTCGAAGAGATCCTCCTGCCTCTGCTTCCCCAGATGCTGGGATCACAGGCCTGAGCAAAATGCCCATGTTTTAAATGTGGTAACTAGTTCACTGGCCTGTGTTTCTCATGTGGTCTTTCTTAGTGCCTTCACCTGGAATGTGTTCAGGTTTAATCCCTAAATAGTACTGTAGTCCAGTCATTTAGATTACTTGTATCATGTGTTCTGTCAGTTGTAAGTTGAAATTATGGATAAGAAAATCAGAGCTAAGACTTACACAAGCCAGGGAAGGAGACTTTTGTAAAGTAATGAATCAATCTTAGGTATTTTAAAACACATTTAAGAAAATAATCCTTTAAAATTATTTCTTATTGCATGTAGTATTTACTTTCTTTTAAACTTTCAAATTAAGCAGAAATAATTTATTTGTCCGTAAACATGAGTAACCATTTATTTTATTTTATTTTTTTGTAGTGCAATTTTAGGGTTCATCTTTAACTTGACATTTTTTAAAAATGGATCTGATCAGGTTTAAGAGTCATGTCTCTATAAGTTACAGTGACACAGGTTCCAGAATATCGGGATGAAGCATTCTTAACATTTTAGAATTATTCCAAATTATGTTTAAATTTTCAGTTACAGTGGCTTTTGATCCAAGAATATTTTTGAATCACTTTCTTGAAATATTAAGATTTTGCGGAATTCATATTTTTATAAAGATAAAACAATTCCCATTGCATGCTTACCCACTCCTTAAATCATCATCAGACATTAAAATATGTGAACTGCTTGGGCATGTACACATGCATAAGTGCACCTTTTTAAATTGGGTGATTGTGAGTTTTACCTGTTACCCTTTGTGAAAATCTGCTGTACATATCTACAACTAGCATTGATTGCACAAATCAGCCTTTCCTAGGGTAATTTTTGTTTTGTTTTTTTTTTTTTTAAACAAATTTAGAAACATCAAGAATGTAACAATGTTAGGAAAAACTAGACGATAAAATATATGTAAATTTAGGCTTTGTTACTAATTTAATCTGCTCTTGAAAAAAAGCAGTTTACTGGTAATACAGCTATCTTTTTCTTCTTTCACTTTTTTTTTTTTTTTCTTTTAGGATCCCAAACGTCATTTGGAAGAACATGTGGATGTGCTTATGACTTCAAATATTGTCCAGTGTTTGGCAGCAATGTTGGATACTGTTGTATTTAAATAAAACAATGCAGAGAGCTGTCAGTGACACTCTCAGTCTGCTTTCCTTCATTGGCCCTGTTGCTCACAGTCAGGGGGGCCTCTGCAGGTGGCGTGGTGGCACTGAAGTCACCTGGGCCACCTCCATCTCAGTTGCTTCTGTTTATTTAGTCCGAGTTTCCCAGATTCCAAAGTTGTTCAAGAATACATCAAAGTGGACAAATTTTGTTAAAATCCCATTTACTATTTGAAAAAATCAGTAGCACAAATATATTTTGATTGTTGCTTACAAAATAAAATACATTTACAATCCATGTCTCCCGAGGTCTTTTTGGCACTGGGTGGAAGTGACAGAATGACATTTGACAGTGCTTTGGAAATCTCACACAAAGCTATGTTTCTCTTTGCGTTATGAAATCTTATAACACATGAAACATGACTGTGATGACAAAATTTCATAAATTAATGATTGCCATTAGTGAGTAACCTAGATAAAATACTGAGTTTTTTTTTTAAAAGCATTTCTCTCAAGCCAACATTATATATTCATATCTTAACATATTACACTTTCAGGATTTTAGAAAAGAACACTTAAAAGGCGGGCAATTTTAAACTCACAATTCGAATAGTATATTCTATGAACAATTTTGAAACTGTCTAGAAGTTGACTCCTGGAAACATCACTAGATTTTCATGTGACATAGTGTGTAAAGTTAAAAAAAAATCCTAGTGTAAATTGAATATCTTAAGTCTATAAACAATAATTTTGTTTTCTTTCCTGAATTAACTTCAAAGTACTCAGTATTTGAAATAATAGTATTGATTATTGGCAGTTCTCATAGCTTTTTACCTAAAGAAAACAGTCAATACCCTCCTTGTTAATAAATATTTACTGAAAAATAATTTAGTGAATACCCTAAGTAGACTCTAATAGTATGGAGACAAAGGTTTATTCTAGGTTGTCCCTTGTGAAAATACGGTGACAGTATTTCTAAGACTTGATGAAAGGAGGATTATACTGGTTAACTTTAGACTTCACATACTGGGGGGGGGTATCATGAATGCCATGTTTACCCCGAATACTGTCCTAATCCAACAATTCTATGTACTTTCCATCTGATGAAATTATCAGAAAATGAAGGTAGACTTGTCTTAAATGTCCAGTGTGTTTCAATGCCTTTTCTCCTCTCTCTCTCTCCTCCCCCCCTCTCTCTTTGAATTATGTGTTCTGGATACTGCTTGCTTGTCCTATAGTTCCTTTAGATACAGTAATAGCTTTCAGGTTGCATTTTCTTAATTTTTACTTAGTTTTCTGAAAAAAACCTAGTTAACTGCTGTGACTAGGAAGGCCTACATAGCCCTGTCTTGCTCTTACTTGACCTTATGGACTTTATTGGTTTTGAATAGCCACATACCACTTCTTTTGCCTGCTTCATGTTGGAAACTATCAGTTTCAGAACCTTTGCACAATCCCTCTTTCCAAAACTCATTTGTCCTTTTTTTTTTTTTTTTTTAAGTTGATCAAAATCAGGTCATTCTAATAGGCACTCATGGAATACCTTTGTTTAGTAATGTATAATAACCATTTTATCAGCAACCTGATACCCTAGGCACAGTTAGGTTTTGAACCAACTGTTAAGCAGAAACTAGATACCCCCTAACATGTCCCACATGCCCCCCACCCCAACACACACACACAGGTAGTGAGGAGCTAAACCTTGACAACCCATCTTGTTATTAGGTATAACTCCACACTACTGAAACTGATTTGTCTCGACCAGAGTTAAGGTAACTCTTATATGCAGTTCAAGTCCCACCCTAGACTTTGTGATATGTGAGGAACCACTTAATTTGGGGCTGATTAACTGAAAGTGGGTCACAGTGTCTGTTCGCCTCCAAATTCAATTTCTTAAAAACTAGGGAATGCATAACCCTTTCCTATCCTCTTCACACTGTGAAGAGCATTTTTAAGAGGTGCCCAGGATGGCATAAAGCTTCCAAAAGCTTAGGTGACATCCCCCCCCACACACACATACACACACCCTTTCATATGTACTCAAGGCTCCAAGTCATGCTCCCAGGGCAACACGAGGTGAGAATCAGGAGGGAGAGGAGAGGCGCTTGGTAACAAGCAAATGATGCAAAGAGGAGAAGGCACAAATGGCTCAAATGGGGCAAAAGCAGCTACATAGATTAAGGGAAGAAAGCCCACCACCAACCCGGTGCTCCTGTGCCTGGATAGCTAAAATCCTTATTTATGAAGCTTCCTACCCAGGAGCTGAGGTTTGCTTTCAAAGGGAAAATGGGTCTGGCGTTATTTTTTCTCTCAGACAATTGCTTCTATTGGATTCTGAGACATCTGATCATCAACTTGTCCGGCCTATAGCCACCAGTGCTGGACCTTGCTCCTGCATCCTTCGGAGGCTGAAGCTGGTACCTTCTTTCAGCCACAGTGCCAACCAGCCTCAGGAAAGTGGTATAGCAAAGGCTCAGCACTGGCCAAGCTGCACACCAAACCACCACACGAATCTGTTAACCCTTCACTGACCATACTCGTGTCCCACCCCTCATTTGCAGCATTGAACTCTGCTGCTTTGGCCGGGGTTACTCAGGCAGAGTGAAGGCAGAGGCCCCACTTGGTGCTGTACGCGTGGAGTGTGAGCCTCTAGGGTCCGAGCCTGACACGGTCGCCTGGCGCTCTCTTAGTCTCCCGAAGCCCGCCGCGTCTTGACCACCTTGCTGGCCTGAGTTGAGCTAAACCCGGGGTTGGCTTCGCATTCCTGCACGTTTCCTCTTCGGGGAAGAAAGCTACAGAGCAGGTTGGCTATGCCTGGCCACCCGCAGCAGCTCTGGCTTTGTAGATCTCAGGTGCTCTGTGCTTGAGGCTGGCGGCTGGCCTCCGGTGGAGCAGGTACAGGGAGATCTTTTTCCCCTACATCTCGGAGTTGCTTGAGGCCTCTTGTTATTTGTGCCCAAATCTCTTTAATCCGGTTCTTTTCCCTAATCCTTTCTAAACTACTGGCATGGATTCTTTCCCTCTGGATTATGTAAACATTACACACACACACACACACACGCGCGCGCGCGCGCACACACACACACACACACACACACACACACACACACACACACACACACACGGGTTCAGTAAGATCACTGCGTTGACACCACTTCCACTCTGTCTCCCCAGATCAACGCTTCTAGCGAACCCATTTTCACTGGGGATTCAGCCCTCTTTCCTGGCGAGGCTTATGAACCTGTCACCAAGCCAGTGCCTCCAAAAGGAGGAAGTGCGGTGGGACTCGAAGGATACATGGCGCCCGCCCCCAGCTAGCTGCTCTTCAGATGATCTGTAACCAAGTTGGCTGATAAAATATTTAGTAACGACCCAGTAAACATGACTGCAAATACATTAAAGCACTTCAGCGCGACGGCTTATGATTATTTCAAAACTTAAAAAGGAGATCATAGATTGTGACTGTTTCTGTACCCCAGCCGGAAACCGAACCTTCCCGAGGTGGGTTGATGGGTGAGCTTCTTCGCCTCCGCTTCTCCTCTCTCCAGCATAACGCTGAAGCTTTCGGCGGCGGTTTGTTTATTTATTTAGTCGTGTAGTTTAAAGGTGGGGGAGGGGGCTCAAGGACACACACTGCCTACTCACAAAGCAGGCTCAGGTGTGTGTGTGCTTCTGTGCATTAACTGGAAAAGACAGACTCTGGAAGTTTTACAGGGCGAGAAGAGGCCACCGGCTCGCGCTTTGTATACTTTGCACTTGAAATCGTTACATTCAACTGAATATTTGGCTCATTCAGATCCGAAAAGTCTCCTAGCATCATCGAATTCCCTCCTCCGCCCCTCCTCTCTAAAGAGAGAAAAGGGGGGGTTAGAAAATGTTTAGTAAATTGCACATCTCTGAATCTTCCTAAAGCAGTGGTCACAAAGCTTAAAGGTGACATAACAAAGCTCACGTAAACCAACACACTTTCCCCACCCCCCAAGCCAACAACAAAATCATCCCCTTCAATTTGCCATGATCGTCGCGACCAGGAGCCAGGTGATTATCCTAATTAATGTCTATCTAATTAAATTACTGTCAGCAGCTAACCAATGGCAGGAGCCGTTTCATCGACTGCATAAGCAGCAAGATCAAAAGTGAGCCTTTTCTGATTGCTGCATAGTGTCAATTGGCCAATCTCTTCTCCCAGGGAGAAAAAAAAAGTAAATCAAACCTTTGAGAAGCATTTGCTGGTTGAAGTGCTTTCTGTCTAGTGAGGGGTCTGTGGATTCCTAGTTTATGATAAACAGGACTTTAAAAACCAGGGACGGGAGGGCGAGTGTTCAGGTTCTAGAGCTATGCAGCTGGAGCACTGTCTCTCTCCTTCTATCATGCTCTCCAAGAAATTTCTCAATGTGAGCAGCAGCTACCCACATTCGGGCGGATCTGAGCTTGTCTTGCACGATCATCCCATTATCTCGACCACTGACAACCTGGAGAGAAGTTCACCTTTGAAAAAAATTACCAGGGGGATGACGAATCAGTCAGATACAGACAATTTTCCTGACTCCAAGGACTCACCAGGGGACGTCCAGAGAAGTAAACTCTCTCCTGTCTTGGACGGGGTCTCTGAGCTTCGTCACAGTTTCGATGGCTCAGCTGCAGATCGTTACCTCCTCTCTCAGTCCAGTCAGCCACAGTCTGCGGCCACTGCTCCCAGTGCCATGTTCCCGTACCCCAGCCAGCACGGACCGGCGCATCCCGCCTTCTCCATCGGAAGCCCCAGTCGCTACATGGCCCACCACCCGGTTATCACCAACGGAGCTTACAACAGCCTGCTGTCCAACTCCTCGCCGCAGGGCTACCCCACGGCCGGCTACCCCTACCCGCAGCAGTACGGCCACTCCTACCAAGGAGCTCCGTTCTACCAGTTTTCTTCTACCCAGCCCGGATTGGTGCCGGGCAAGGCGCAGGTATACCTGTGCAACCGGCCACTTTGGCTGAAATTTCATCGGCATCAAACGGAGATGATCATCACTAAGCAGGGAAGGTAATGCTACTTTCTTGGCTGCCGCCGTTCCAGGCGTGACCCTGGGCGAGCACACTCAAGTTGTGACCGCTGGGCAGCGACGATGTGGGGTCGGGGAGCGGAGTGAAAAGGCGCTCGGTTGCGCCCTGGAGTTGGCTGGTTTTGGAAAAGGGGAAAGTGGACGGGATAATAGCCATCGTGGTGATGTTGGTGGCAGGGAGCCTGCTGTACCAGTGCGGTCGGAGAGCCAGTCTGTGACTGCAGCAAGACGAAGAGCCGCGGCCGCTGCC